CCCCAGAGCTAGTCTCCATGTCCGGAGATCTGGTTGCCGAGGCCCCCACCGTCGACTGCCGCCCAGATCTCTCTGCACCGGCCCCATATGGCTCCTCCCGCGGGTGGTGGGCCCACGTGAGGACGGCCCCACGTCGCTCCTTCGGGCTGAGCCTGGCCGAGCCCCGTGGGGGGAGGCTCGGCCACCAGGCGCTCGCTGACGAGCACCCACCCCAGGCCTGACTCCAGAGTGAGACCCCGGTGACGCCAATCCGGGCGACGTAACTGGCCTTGCTCGTACACTCATCATAGGGGCTTCTGAACCGTTCTTCGTCTGACCCGTCCCCCCAGACCTGTCTGCCTTGGGTGACCCTACCAGGGGCATGAAGCCCCCGACAACATAGCTCCCGGGATCATTCGGGCACTCAAACCCCTCCACCACGATAAGGTGACGGTTCAAGGAGGGGAATTTTTGAAATTTTTTTTCAGTCAAATCTGAAATGGTTCATAGGGGAGATTCCTTGAAAACAGCTGATTTCATATATTTCACATATTTCACTTCAGATGTTATGTCCAGACAGTAACTCTTGAAGTTAGTCTTACTTTATTGTTAGTTTTCCCAAATACACTCTTACTCATACTTGTAATTTCTTGGACCCCTACAATGTACTACCTGAGTAATATTGTTTTGGAGTAATGGCAGTTCTTCAGTTGAATTCAAATGAGGTTTTCAGCACCACGGACAGCTCCAGGCCTGATCACACCATCCTTATGATAGACCTTATCATTTTTGTGGCAATTGAAAGAGTTCAGCAAATGCAAGAAAAGCTCAAACGTACAGAATATGTTGAAAGGCTGTGAAGGAGGTCAAAAATACATCGGATGGAAAGGGAAAACAACTCGTAGAAGTGATGGAAAAAGTAAAAACCTTGGTAATGCCAGTCACTACACTTCAGGAGGAGAATGCAATGCTCCAAGAGAAAAGAAACAATCTGGAGACATACAGGAGGCACTGGACCCACCATGTGGCTGTAAACTAAAAAAAAACTAAAAAACTTTCTTTAACTGCTGCAGAGATAATCTCTCATCCCAAGAGGGTTTTGAGGTTCTTTAATTTGGGTTGTATTTATTTATTTACTTGGGTTTTTTTTGTTTTGTTTTTTTTCTGTTGTATTTCTTTTCTAATATAAGTGTAAGTCATGTCTATTTCTGTAATGTCTATTGGAAATTAGATAAAAAAGGAAATTATATATATATATATATATATATATATATATATATATATATATATATATATTTTTTTTTTTTTTTTTTTTTTTTTTTTTTTTTTGGTCAGAGGAAACAAGCTGATTTTTACTTTCGACAACAAAGGCAAATCTGTACAATCTGGCTTATATATATATATATATATATATATATATATATATATATATATATATATATATATATATATATATATATATATATATATACACACACACACATATATATATACTCATGGGTAAAGGCAGGGGTTCTAACTTTACCAGCTTTGGTCAAGATTGAATTGTGTTTGTCTGGAGACAAATGTAAGAAGAATGTATGAAGAGCACAGTTAATATAATCATGAAGGTAAATGTGATTCTTCCATACAGATAAGCGTTTACCAATGACCAGTGTTGGGAATAACAGTAAGTTTAAGTAAGGTCGGAAAAACTTCTTTCAAACAGACCAGTATGCTGTTTACTTGACATGCCTTCTGGGTCACATGATGTTACATTTACACAAATTGGAATGATTTAATGTATTTGGTACCTACATGTTTTGGTGAATTATTTTTATATAGTGCATACTGTACATATATCTATTTGATGACCCTGTGTAAACATATTATGTCACATGATTTCATTGTGGATTTCAAAAATACTCAAGAATGACAGAATGCTTTTTTTTTTTCATAATGCAATTTATGGTTCAAAAATACAAACAAATGATTTTGCTTCCATATGCTCAATATACACATTTCTCTTTATTCTTTCTGACAGATGTTTAAGACTGGCATTTAGTCACCTCTCTGCTTAAGAACGAGTCCTCTGCTCTTGTGCCTCTCCATCCCACCCCAGCCCACTGTGTGGCACTGCTGTTTGCTGATGATGAGGTGAGCTCTGGACATAGGGTACTTCTCACATCTCTTTCCCACTTCCTTTCCTTCTTGCACACGGCAGCACAAGACAACAGCAACATTCATCTCAGTGGTGTGATGTGATGAACTGGCACAAACTCAAAGTCCAACACTTGCCAAACTTTATAGAAAAGGACAGGAAAGCTGATAACCTCAGTAACTTCATTGTTCTTAATTCTGGGAAATGAACTAAACCAATACTGTAACACAATAAAACTAGTTTAATCGAATTCTGCTATAGAACTTTTTGAAGCTATGGCTTCACTGAGCTTATCTGATTAAGCCCACAAACATTTGCACTGTAATCAGGTCATCTAACTTAAAAAAATAACCCCTAAGGGTGCACAACTTTTCTGACTGATGGCTCATTACTAACTTGTTAACGCTCTGCTTGTTCCACAGACTGGCATTAAACTTGTCTCAATGGAGACAAGGAGGTGACACCAGTCCATGTTACAGTTCAGATCTGTGGAGAGATGACCCTACTCACATAAGGAAGTTACTGACATAGTGCTCCTCCGGTACTGATGTGAATATGGGCAAAAGCTCAGATACTGCTAATTTTTCAGGTATCATATCGGAAAGTACTCAGACCAAATCACTGATCCAATACCACTCTGCATTTTCCATTATTTCTTAGTTATTTTTTGCTCTTGTACTGTTACAAAATTGATTAGCCTTCTACTTCACACTACGGCATCAGTACCGGCGAGTATACTAAGGCCAAGTGCCAAGGCCAAAAAAATGGTATCGGAACAAGACTCCTTTTAAACAGTAAATAAAGTTATAATTTATATGAACTATATTAACATGCTTATTTAAACATCATATGTTCAGCTGATTAAAAAGTCCAATGAGAATAAAATAGTATTTTTGGGTCACAGTAGTGCCTGAGGAGGCTGTGCCATTGACCATGGGACCAGGTTTCCACCTGCCTTGCTCTTCTACTCTTGTCTCTGCATTTGTCCTTGGTGGGATTCAGGTGCAAGAATTGAGGACAAGGGGAAAGTGAATTGTGGTTTACCCATATATTTAAAACACACCCAACTGCAAATACAAGAGACCAGCTCAGTGCTCTAAGTTGAAGCCATCAACACACAGGGGTGGTCCAGACTCCTCCACAGTTGGATTTACACTGGGTAGACCGCTGCTCATCAGACTCTTGGTATAATCCCTGTATGGGTTTCCTCGGATGCCTTTCAACTAGGAAATATCACAATTCCCTTTGTTTTTACTCCAAATTTTCTCCAACTTCAGACTGCAAGTTTTTGTCCTAGTAGGCTTATACTTCAAAACATGACAATATTTTTTGAACTGGGATTTGAACTCCAAACTTTGCTACTTGGGTCCATCTTGTTGCGACGCCCCAAAAGAAGTGTACACTGTATCATGAGAGTAAAACATGCCACACTGAGCGTGTTGCCCACATTTGGAACAACACTGTCAGTCAATGTACTGTCCACACAGACACAACATGTCCCGGAGAGTGCCATCACACGTCACAGAACACAGTGAAACTAAACAAAGGACACTGAGGTGCGCTTCTGTGTCCAGGCCCTCACAGCACGCTTGGTACAGGTCAGCTCAGATCCAGAGTCCTGTGCAGTTCTCCTGAAACACAACAGAACAAGCGCATAGTGTGGCAAACCAGGCCAATTTACACCATTAACCCTCCTGCCGTGTTCACCTCCTGCCCCTTACTTTTGTGTTCCTGGTCAAAACTGACCAGTCTGTTTTAACTGCTCTTAAATTAGCACAAAAAAAAACATTTTTCACTACCATATTTGTATTCAACATTCTTTAGCTGTGAACAATGTCTCAAAGTAGTGTTTAACATGAATTTATAGAATTAGACATAAAATAACTGCAGTGAAAATAAAAATAGGCACTGAAAATGTGTTATAAAACGAACATGTAATGTAATGTGTGTGTGTGCTTGTGTGTGCGTGCGTGTCTGTGTGCGTGTGTCTGTGGGTGTGTGTGTGTGTGTGCTTGTGTGTGCGTACGTGTCTGTGTGTGCGTGTCTGTGGGTGTGATGTGTGCGTGTGTGTGCGTGCATGTGTGACGTGTGTGTGTGTGTGTGTGTGTGTGTGCGCGTGTGTGTGCATGTGTGATGTGTGTGTGATGTGTGTGTGTGTGCATGTGTGATGTGTGTGTGATGTGTGTGTGTGTGTGCGTGCGTGTGTGTGTCTGTGGGTGTGTGTGTGTGCGTGTGTGTGTGCGTGTGAGTGCATGTGTGTGTGTCTATGGGTGTGTGTGTGTGTGTGTGTGTGTGTGTGTGTGCGCGCGTGCGTGTCTGTGTGTGTGTGTGCGTGTGTGTGCGTGCATGTGTGTGTGTCTATGGGTGTGTGTGTGTGTGTGTGTGCGCGCGTGCATGTCTGTGTGTGCGTGTGTGTGTGTGCGTGTGTGTGAGTGCATGTGTGTGTGTCTATGGGTGTGTGTGTGTGTGTGTGCGCGCGTGCGTGTCTGTGTGTGCGTGTGTGTGCGTGCATGTGTGTGTGTCTATGGGTGTGTGTGTGTGCGTGTGTGTGCGTGCATGTGTGTGTGTCTATGGGTGTGTGTGTGTGTGTGTGTGTGCGCGTGCGTGTCTGTGTGCGCGTGTGTGTGCGTGTGCTCGTGTCTGTGGGTGTGTATGTGTGTGTGTGTGTGTATGTGTGTGTGTGTGTGTGTGTATTTTGACACAAATCCATGAGTGCATGATCCCAAAATGCTTCAGTCTGATCAGCCTAAAAATGTACATGTTTATTACTATATGTATTATATATTACTAGAATTTGTACAGAGTCAGAATTGATACTTCATATAAATACACTCATCCCTAATGTCATATTAATAGCTGTAATAATAAGCAGTGACACCTGTTAAAGTGGCTGTGGGTAGGCCTGGCAGGGGTCAAAGGTCAGGTCAGGCAGGTATGGCTCTTGGAGGTCAGGGTCCAGAGGCATGTCTGTGTAGCCGTATGTCGGGTACGGAACAGCCACCTCTGAGAGACACAATGTATGCACCGTCCGTTAGCCCGTTGTACTGTCAGCATTTGTCTTCAAAACAAAAGCTGAGGTCTTACCTTCAGCAAGGTATGTGGGCTCCAAAGGGACCACAGTATGGGCCTATCACACACAGCACAAGAAGAACAAAGATTACATTGACAAAGTTCCCCTCGCGTGTTGCACCCTGCTGGTAAAACTGTGACGCTTTTATCTTGAATTGAATGGGGCAATAAGCCTTACCATGTCCCAAGCCACTGGGTCATGCTTGAACAGCGAGTGGGTGAGCTCCACAGACACTCTCTTCCTATAGTCCGAACTCTTGTCCTCGGAGATACGGAAGAGCACAGCAGCAGCGTAGGTGGCTGCAAAACACAGTACAGAAGTATAAACATGTGACTGAACCCCAGCTCTGTCCTGTGGTGTTTATTTGTGTTTGTTTTATTTAATTGCTTTTTCACAAAATATTACAGTCTTGAATCAAACAAGTATGTCAAGCATGTTGAAAATATTAAACTAAATGTAAAAGAAACAAACAGAAAAATAAACAAAAGAGCATCCGTCATTCAAATATCATTGCAGTTCTGTGTTCAGAGTAGTCAAGAGAAGAGAGCCAATGTCATCTTCTCCATGACAAATATGACTAGGCTTAAACCATCCTCTTGTTATGACCTTCCTCGCTGCACTTAACAGTTTAATCATGTATTGTATGTAATCATGTAATAATGTAGATTGTGGCAACCACCACAGAGGTATGACCCAAAAACAATGCTGCAGGTGTGAAAGGGATAGAGTGGTGTAGTACATTTGGTAAAGATAAATTAATAAAGCTTCAAAAAGGTTTCATCAACGAACAATCCCAGAAAATAGTAGTGTGACTGGCATTATCACGTTGCCTCCTACACATTTGCTGATGTGCTAATCTAGTGTGTGTGTCTGTGTGTGCATGTTTGTGTGTATGTGAGTGTGTGTTTGGGTTGTTTGACTATGTGGGGTTGGGGGTGCGGGGGTTGGGTTGGTGGGTGGGTGGTTGGGTGGTTGGAAATGCGGGACTGTTTTTAATCACTGTAAAGCACTTTGTGTTGCATTTTGTATGAAAAGTGCTTTATAAATAAAGTTTGATTTGATTTGATTTGATTAGTTGCTTGTGTTTAATACAATAATAAAATGGAATTGCCTCCATTTTAGAGATAAATAATTCTACATTTAGAGAAGATAGTGACAATTCACATCCTACTCCATTCCTAATCTGATATTGTGGCAAGCATTTCCCTTCCACACTTTCCTGTTGAAAGTTGAACCATTTTGGTATTCAAGTCTTTTTGTAGGTTTTGCTCCAATTGTTATTTATATGACTGCATTTTGTTCACCCCATTTTCCTATAGACATTAAATGTCTATATTATTATTATTATTATTATTATTATTATTATTATTATCATTATTATTATTATTCTCTCAATTGGAGGTATAAAAGAAGTGCCAGTTAATGAGTCCAAATGTTGCTCTTGAAATTTCCTCCTCTCCTTGTTTGTTGTTTTTAATAATGTACAGCAGGCTGGGACGCCCTTGTTAATCAAATTTTTACATGTTCAATCATGTTTTGCTGGTTTAAAATCCCCATCTAAAAATATGAATTGTAATAATTTTTTTGTCTTTCTTCAGTTTGGATTGTGAATATTCTCACTGGATACTCGATTAAGTAGTTTTTTTGTTTGTTTGTTTGTTTTATCATCACTGGGCAAACAGTGTGGACGAGATATGCAGGAATACAAGTCTCACTCTCCTTCCATTTGGCATAATACCGAGGGTCACACCAACAACATGTATATCAAAAGTGAGCTGCATAGAAATACATCCCAGTTTTTTGTTTTTTTTGTTTTTTTACTGTCCCACTCGATATTGTCTTTATATACTACTTTTGAGGGTGTATGATTGAATACGATTGAAAAGGAGAACCTGGGTTTTACATGTAATCAATGTGCATCTATGAATAAAATTCATAGCTGCACATTGGAGGTGTTGATGTCTTTAAAAAAAATAAAAAATAATAATAAAATAAAAACATATCATCTACAAATAGTCTGATCTTTTGTTCCCTGTCATTCTTATGTGTTCTCTTCAAATGTTCGCTCTGATGTATGGCTTGGTGGCTTGATAAAAGAGCAGAATGTGTGGGGCTGATCTCACATTCTCACCATGAGCCTCTTTTTACTTAAATGCTCTGTTAGAGAAGAGTTTGATTTTATTCTCGCTGTCATAAATTCCTCTCATGCATTTGGTTCTGCTCTATCATACTAATACTAGTATTTTTCCTTTAGGTAATAAATTCTTCTTTTATAGTAATAGGCATAAGTGGTTGTTAAACATATTTTAATTCTGCATAAATCTAGCCCAGTGCAGAGGTTTAGGTGAATCTTCATGTTCATAATTCAGAGACAAATGTTCTGACACAGACAAGTAGGGTCCTGCATGATTATAACACAAAATACACAATTTTATGTCCATTTAAAACTTTGAATGAATACATTTTCTGGCCCAGGTTTTACATAATTTTCTCTCAGAATTTTTCCTTCCCAAACCCTCAAGATGGCTACCACAATTGCCACGGCAACAGCAGCCATGCTCGCCCTAGCCCTCATGAGCGTCCTTGCGCTGCAGTACCTATGCCCTCATTGGGGGAATGCAGCAGCTCCATGAGTGGTGCTGAGGCTCCCTCTGCGTCGATGAGCTCTGCAGACTGTTTGTCCAGAGCCAGTTCACACAGGACACCAGCAGATACACGCTTCACATTCTCCACGTACGAGTAGAGCAGCTGAAACACACAAACAAGCAGCTTAACAGAACAGAGCTACTTACAGACTTAGAATAAAGTTCAGTATCTCATCTGTGTAATGACAGACAGACAGACAGACAGACAGACAGACAGACAGACAGACAGATAGATAGATAGATAGATAGATAGATAGATAGATAGATAGATAGATAGATAGATAGATAGGTGGAAATGTTAGTATTGGGTGTTGTTCTTTCTGTTGTCCAAGTAAGAAGTGTTAAAAGCCACACTATTTTTTGTCTAATCCTTTCCCTCAAAGGCACCTTTGGGTGTTACATTTCAGAGAAAGTCAAATGTTCAGACTGCCCTAAATGCAAACTGTTCTTGGGAAGGACTTGGACCTCAGAGAATATTTAAGTGTTGTTACCCCACTGCTCTGGGCTCACTGCAACAGAAACTCTGTCAGTATGAGACTGTTTAAAACCAGTGCAAACATAATTAATCAACACAGACACAGTCTTCTTGTATGTTTTGGTATTGTTTTACAGATAATTTCCATGACAATAGATGGATATTTGATCCCAAAGGAAGTTTAAAAGCAGCAACATAGTGAACATATTTAAGTTAGCAATCTATCCTCTTGTGCTCATCACTAGACAGATGTGTGGTACAGACATTTGGCATGTGGGACAAACAAGTCAATAGTTCAGGCAGGTTTCACTGCAAAAAAAAAAGGACTTCTGTCTGGATAAAAATGATTAAGAGTGAAGACGTTTCATCAGAGAAGTCTACAGGGTGTGATATTTCAATGGAGTTGAAGCCAATGCATGTGGCATGTGACTTTTTAGCAAAAAAAAAAAAAAAAAAAAAAAAAAAAAAAAATATATATATATATATATATATATATATATATATATATATATATATATATATATATATATATATATATATATTATTTTGTCAATTGAAACTTAGGTCACAAGTTTGTAGACCCAGTAGTCAAGTTTTGTTGTTATTTTTGAGCTCTTTCCTTTTTACTATAATTATAACACACATTTCAAGAATGCAGTTCTATTATATTAATTGGACTGGTGGGACAGAACTTGAGTTCAATATTCATAATTCTACATCAGTGTTTGTTGAAAAATCTTATCCTATTTGTCAGATCATAACTGTAATGTAGTTAATTAGTGAGTCGGTAATTGCTACGACCCCAGAGTAGTTCAGTATTTTGTGGGTGTGTGTTTGTGCTGTTGCTGGCTCTCTCGCCCCTCCCTTCCACATTCCAGGGTGGGAGGGCCAACCCAGCGAGCTGCACCTGATTGTGGGTGTGGCTCACCACCTTAAAAGCTGGCTGCTGGAGACCACAATTTAGCTTGCATCCTGGGTTTAATATATTTCTATTTTTTTTACTCTTTTTAAACATGTGTGGACTCTCCTTTGTTACGAACTGGCTCAGGGTTTGAACAAGGGAGAGTTATCATATTATGATGACTATGTTTAAGAGAAATGAGTAGTCTAATCTGTCACACAGTGAGCTGGCAGCAGTTTGCAGTGGGAGTGTCTGTACCTGCACAAACAGAGGGATGGTCTGCATGCTGGAGATCTCGCCTCGGTTGATGGGATCTCGGGCCAGAATGTGCAGGGCCCCAGTGCAGCCCTCCACTATCTCCTCCATACGCACGCCATCCTGAAGGCACAGACAGTTTTCCTCAGTAGGCTTACAAGTACTGCTAAGCCCCCCCCCATCCAAATCAGGTTGATTTGGATGGTGTACCTTGTAGGTTTGCTGAGAGGAGTCGTGCCGCTGAATGTCCTGATGTGCCTTTAGCAGCAGATTGACCAATCGGGGGATAGCTCCCGCCTCCCTGAGAGGGGCCTGATTGGCTGGACACAGTGCTAAGTTTCGTATGAGGCCGACAGTTGCCTAAATGAGAGCAGAAAATAATTGAATAAATCCAATGTTACATTAATATATGACATATAATGGTCATGTTTTTTTCTAATTCTGACTTGGTTTGGTGGATAGTACCTGTGCTAAATATTTGTGGGAAAAAAATGTTGAATTGAAAAGTACAACAATCCATCAAGTAGCTGTGAGTTCTAATGGCCGAATTATAGTTCTGTGTCAACTCAACACACTCTGCCGCCGTCGCCTTGTCACTGTCATTTTTTATTCATGAATCTGTGTCAAGGTTTATGTGCCGCAAAGTAATTCACTGCCACCATTCTAGGGGTGTATACAAAATGAAGCAGAAAAGCGGAGTACTGTAAATGTACGTAGAGCGGTTCTTGTTTGGTCATTTTAGTGCAAACTAGGTGTATATTTGCAGCTTTCTAGTTGAAACTTGGCTCCCATGGCCACTACAGTTTTAAGTGCTCGGGGCCATCACACAACACTGCCCTGACCACAGCCAGGCTTTTCTGATTACAAACACCCGGCTGCAGGTGCAGAGTTTGACGTGTGGATACCTGTTAGGTCAATCACACTGTTCCTGCTAACCCCCCCCCCCTTCTCCTTCACTCTGCCCTTGAGTCATCCAGGTATTCCTCCAGTTCAGCAGCTCTGTTTGAAATGTGGTTGTGGGCGGAGTTTAGTAGTTAGTCTCTCTTTACAATAGAATGATGTTAATTGTGTTTTAGTGAAATTAGTATTCTAACATGTCATATACAAAAAACAAGCCTAATAACTCACCTTGACCACGGGCCAGTAGTGTGGCTGGCCCAGTAGTTTGACCACACAGGGGATGCCGTAGTGCAGCCTGACAGCATTCTGGGCCAGCTCCGCCTCGGGGTGTCGGGACGTGAGGTGCCTGAGCGCGCACACTGCAGGCTCGGCCACGTCCTCCTTCTGCCCCGCTCGGAGCACCGCGTGGATCAGAGCCTCCACCCCCCCAAACTGAGTCACCAGGGTCTGAAAACAGCACACGATGTCAGCTCATAAGACAATGGACTTCACGCAGCTCAGAGAAGCAGAGAATTAGTGTTTACTTAAGTTATTCAAGATAACATCTTTAGAACTCTGTCACCACTTGACTTTGTTTTGAAGATCTCAATTATTATCAAAATAGACAAAAATGTGTATCATTAAAGGTACAGTATGTTACTTTCCAGAAGCAGTATGTGACCTGCATGATTCCATGGAAAGAGAAAGTTAAAATTATACTTCAGAACATGCTCCACAAAAATAGATAAGTTTCATCCCATATTGTGGAATACTACAGTCAAAGGAAAAACATTTGCATGGAAACAAGAAAAAGCAGGTCCTCCTACAGCACAAATAAGAGTCAGGTTGGCAAGCCCACTCACAGTATGAACACATGTTTTTGTTTATTTGTTTGTTCGTTTGTTTGTTTGTTTTCAGTGCAATAAACACCTGACATGGATAATTATCAATTATTACATTAATTCAAAAAAAAAAAAAAAAAAAAACATGCTGTGGGGGTCCAGCAGGGGGCACTGACCTTGTTGCGTGCGTTGTTGCAGGTCAGGTTGGACAGAATTCCTGTGGCACACGTCAGCATGTTGACATCATCGGAGCCCAGCTGAGTGACCAGGATCTGCAGCAGACCATCCAGGCCTTCCTGAACACAGTTTCACAACAGCATTTGCAATAGCTCTTCAGTGAGGACCATCCGCTCAAGCTCCACACTGTTGGAGCTTATTTGTTAAAGCTGCACGGTGTAACTTTTCCGCTTGTGTCAACAGAGATGTCACAGCCTTGCCTGGAATGTCCAACAGTATTACATTTAAAACTTTAAAACTGTCTGAAAGAGGACAGGTTACACGTGTTGTGTGGAGAGGAGAGCCTGCTTCATTACAAAGTGAAATACAGCATTTTGAGCTTTGGAGATGTAAACAGACTTATAAAGGTTTACTCAACATGTGTGAATGAAACAAAGCGCATGTCCGAGTCTGTTGAGGAGGTAATAATGTTCTAACATGACTCACAAGAGTCAGTTTTGCTCTTTTGCCTAACGAGTTCGAGGGAACTTGGCACACACCTGTTTAGTGGCAGCGTCGGAGAGGTTGCGCAGTGTCCACAGACAGTTCTGGACAAGTCTGTGACTGGAGCCGGTCAGGTGCTGCCCCAGGGCCTGCATCCCTCCTGCACACAGGACAGCTCAGGTAAGAGACCTTACAATTTGAATATCATGAAAAAGTTCAATATTTTTTGTCACTCATTTTATTTTAGTCAACCCCATATAGTTAACGGACTCATGACACAAGCCATAACATGAAGCTTTCAAGCCTTTATTTCTTGAAACTTTGATGATTATGACTTACACACACATAATGCACATAATGAAAACCCAAAATTCTGTGTGTCAGAAAATGTGAATATTGTGAAAATGTTCAATATTGGAAAGGTGGTGCCACACCCTAATCTGCTAATTAACAGAAAACCCCTGCAAAGGTTTCCTGAGCCTTTAAAAGTTCTCTGTCTGCATCAGTGGGAAACACCATCACAGGGAAAGCTGCTGACTGGACACATGTCCAGAAGACAGACACTGACACCCTCCACAAAGAGAAAGTCACAAAAGGTCATTGCTAAGTTCCAAAGTACCGAAAGCTGGTTCAGTGAGCGTGGTGTTCCTCTGCCTGATTGGTCTGCAAACTCAACTGATCTGAGCCCCACAAACAATCTCTGAGCTATTTCATGTTCAATTCAGTTTTATTTTTTCTACAATTTTAAATTATAATCCCACACAGGCACACATTTATACATATATGTAAATATGTTCATGCAATTGACATATACAGTCAAGCCCAAAATGATTCATACCCTGACAAATTTGGACTTAAAGTTTCTTTTATTCAACCAGCAAGTTTTTTCTTGATTAGAAATGACACAGGCGTCTCCCAGAAGATAATAAGATGACGTACAAGAGGCATCATTGTGAAAAATAAATATTTCTCAGCTTTTATTTACATTTGAACGAAAAGTGGCCTGTCCAGAATTATTCATAACCTTTCTCAATAATCAATAGAAAAGCCTTTATTGGCTATTACAGTAATCTAATGCTTCCTATAATTGCTGAACAGTTTTTTGAATGTCTCCACTGATATTTTTGCATAGTCCTCCTTAGCGGTGAGCTCCAGTGCTTTCAGATCGGAGGGTCTCCTCTTCATCACCCTGATCTTTAGCTCCCTCCACAGATTCTCAGTTGGATTCAAGTCAGGACTCTGGCTGGGCCACTGCAAAACTGTAATGTTGCTGTTTAATAACCATTTCTTCACCACTTTTGCAGTGTGTTTGGGTCATTGTCGTGCTAAAATGTTCACTGGTGCCCAAGTCCAAGTTCCTCTGCAGCTGCTTGATGTTGTTGTTGAGAATCTTGATCTGTTGCTCTTTGTTCATGGTGCTGTTTACTGTGATTAGACTCCCTGGACCATTGGCTGAAAAAACATCTCCAAAGCATTAGGTTCCCACCATCAGGTTTGACAGTGGGGATGGTGTTCTTAGGGTTGAAGGCTTCTCCTTTTTTACGCCAAATCATCAATACATCATTGTGGCCAAACAATTCAATTTTTGTTTCATCTGACCATAAAACAAAAGACCTTTTTTGTTCAGATGAGCATTTGCAAAGGCTAAACGGGCTTTTTGTGTGCCTTATCTGGAGAAGTGGTGTCCTCCTAGGTCTGCGTCCGTGGAACCAGCAGTATGTCGTGTCTGTTGGATTGTCTGTCTTGAGATGTTCCACCAGCAGAGCCCAGATTCACCTGGATGGCCTTGGTGGTGATCTGTGGATTCTTTTTTTCACCAATCTCACTGTCCTCCTGGTCAGCACAGGTGTCACTTTTGGTTTCCAACCACATCTTGTGAGATTTTCCACAGTGTGGAACATCTTGTATTTTTAAATAATTCTTTGAACTGTATAACTTGAAAACATTTAGATATGGCCTTATAGCCCTTTCCTGACTTGTGGGCAGCCACAATACGCAGCCGTAGATCCTCAGAGAGCTCCTTTGTCTTAGCCATGACTGTTCACAAACCAACTGCAAAGACCTGCCGTTTTTCACCTGTTCACTTGCTTAAAACAGCTCTTCCCAATGAATTAGGGGAATTACAAAGTTTTAAAACAGCTTGTGCTGTTTGGAATGGTATAGAACTTTGGTTTTTCCCATAGACTCTGACAGTTTACAAAGGGTATGAATAATTCTGGACAGGCCACTTTTCGTTCAAATGTAAATACAAGCTGAGAAATATTTATTTTTCACAATGATGCCTCTTGTACATTGTCTTATTATCTTCTGGGAGACGCCTGTGTCATTTCTAATCAAGAAAAAACTTGTTGGTTGAATAAAAGTAACTTTAAGTCCAAATTTGTCAGGGGTATGAATCATTTTGGGCTTGACTGTATATTATGTATGCCCATATGTATTAACAGTGAAAACAACATGAACTCCCAAGGAAGCTGGGAAGCTTGTGTATGTGGGCTCTATCACCACAGTGTGATTTATTTAGTGACTCGACAGATGGCTTGACAGGACAATAAATTAATAATAATAACAATTAACAATGATAAGGAAAGAAATACAAAGTAAAATAAGTGAGAGAGAAGAAAAAAAGAAATAATATGATCAAATGAAATATATATATATATATATATATATATATATATATATATATAATATATATATATATATTTTTTTTTTTTTTTTTTTTTTTTTTTTTTTTACAGACGACCTGAAGGCCGCTATCAAAGCAACCTGGGCTTCGGGCTTCCATTCCACCTGAGCAGCACCACAGGGTGATCGCCTCCATGCCACAGCAAACTGATGCAGTAATTCATGCCAAAGGAGCCTCACATTTGTGTTTGAAATATCATTTTTTACTGATCTTATGTGATAGTCTGATTTTCTGAGACTGAGTTTGGGGTTTTTAGTATCTGTAAGCCATAATCATCAAACTCATCAAGAAATAAAATAAAGGCTTGAAAGCTTCACTTTATGAGTCATAAGTCTATATAATATATGAGTCTGATTTTCTGAACTTGGCCTTCTTTTACATGATATCCTACTTTTTTGTATTTGAATGCTCTTGTCATTTGCGCAGGTGTATTTTGGTTGCGAGGCACCCTCTTGTGGTGACCAGTAGTGGTAAGTGGGAACTGTGAATACATTTACATGATAAATGGGCACAAGATGACAATATTATGACTTTTATGTAGGGTGAATAAGGAAAGGGCTCCCTTAGTTAAAGGAGGGGTAATTGATTTTACAGACTGGAATTTAAAAGTTAAAGTAGTACCCACGTGGCCTTTGGGAGTATTTGGCTCTGACTAGAAGTAGTTTGGGGCACCACTCAAAAAATATTATATATACAATATTACCAATACAATATAATCAATTACCTATGTTAATTAATTAAATTAATTAATCATTAATTATACAGTTGTTCTGATGGTTTGTAAATTCTTGTACATATCAGTGACCCATATCGGGAATAACATCACTATTCACCTAATCAAAGTGTGCTTTATGAATATTCACTCACCAAGTTAAACAGACAGTGTTTGAAAATGAAATATGCAAATGAGTGTAGGTTATCCTAGGGCTGGTGTCTACGGACTGGAGGTCAGGTACAACTTTAAGAGTTATCTAAAGTTCTGTGTTGAGTCTACATTGATCAGTTAAACCATTCTGTGACATTCTGTGCATACGACCCGAGAGGAGCGTGAGGATGTCCATGTCCAGTCACCAGCCTTCAGGCAGTTGAATCTGAATAATCAAACGAGCCGGGACAAACACAAGAACGCCACGTGATCTAAACAATGCTTCCAGGCTCAGGCGGTGTCAGGCTGAGAGAACGTCATATCCTGTGTTAGAGCGGGGGACAGGACGCCTTCAGTGTCCATGAGGTCTGAACAGCACTGATCATCAATGAAGGCCAACATTGACTACAAAAATGCAAATATTTATGTTTGGAAAAATATAAAAGCTTTGTATTTGGTCAGATCAGCTACAAAAAAGTAAAAGGAGAGAGAGAGGACTTCTCGGGCATTGTCCCTTGTGGAATGTCTTTGTTAAAGGAGCTGTAGTGTTTCTGTAGCTCTCTCTCCTCTCTACTTGTCTCTACATCACACCCCTGAACTGACGTGGGGTTGCAAAGATAAGGGTCCTTTGTGACTGCTTACAAAGTTTTCGTGGGAAATGCTAGACCAGTGAGGTGTGAGTTGTGTGTGGGGGTTTTGTGACATAGCTTTCACATTACATATTATGAACATTACAGTTCTACAGAAATAAAAGTATATTCACATTTACATTCACATTTCAGTCAATATTAAAACACATAGGAACAATTCATAGAATGAATTGTTAATTTCATTCCTCTTCTTTCTCTGGAGAAAGTCCATTGGCTTGGCATTTAGAGATTGTTCGATCAAAATCTACTAGTGTTTTTTATCTGTGTCGATTATAGTCAGATCATCTGAACTTACTTCAGTCAGTTGGTTTATCAATAGGTGAAACTTTATAGATCTCGTAGCTCTTTAGTAAAAGATCTTTATTCCTTCTGAAAGGGTCTTTTGTAAGTTATTTTGGATAGGACATGTCTCTTATCCATGCTAGGGCCAAAAATTGAGTAGGGGTCCGCTTTGTGAGCAGCTGCATTTGAAATGATAAAATTAGCATCTGCTAAAGAAGCATCTAATGATTTGGTAACTTAACCAGTTTGAAGGGGAAGGGTAGTGTGCATCTAAACTTAAACTGCAGTCAAAGGCATTGTCCAAACGTTGGAGCAAGTTTCTTTCTTAAAGATTCAATATCAGGAGGAGGAGTTTTGCCATCATGGTAAAGCTCACAACAACCAGCTAACATGCACTTTAACTGAGACCTCAAGAGCTGCTCATACTGTACAATATATTTATTTAAGGGTAAGACAGTTTTTTCTCAAATACATGGAAAACAGTTGGGTAGAGGACGTTTAAGGCCTGTCAGTATGTACAGTGTATTTTCTCCACATACCTGCCTCCACGATGGCCGGTTTGTTACTGGGGCACACGGACAACACCTTGAGCACTCGGCTGGTGGTCCACAGCAGCTTCTCGTAGTTGTAGTTTCTCATGATGAACACCAGGGTCTCGGGGCCTCCGTTGGCCAGGATGATGAGCTGACAGGATGACACAGATGTGTTTAGAAATGACATGGACTTTCAGTTCAAATGACATGTTTAAAATATAGCACATGTCATCTAGTTTTGAGCACATTTTAACTAGACTGACAAAAACTATATTAAATTTAAGTAGGTAAGTTACTAAACAGCCACAGAACAGTCTACAGTCCCTGACAAAAGTCTTGTCGCTTATCCATTTTGTAGAAACAAAAGCTTATAACTTGACTTTAAATTAATCGATTGGTTTTAGAAATGTCTCATATGAAGCTAAAACCCTCCCAAATTATGCTCAATAAACTAAAATAAATTTGCTTCACTGAAGAAAGATTGATCATTTAATGAACACAGAAAGGTCAGATTTTGGCAATGCAAAAAATTTTGTGGCCTTGTCATATGATGCACCCAATCCTAGATTACAGCCTCACCTGTGATCAGTTACTGATCAATCAGTTAGTGTTTGTGTATAAAAAGAACCCCAGCACACCAGACCTTCACATCAACTGCAACTTGACCTCTGACAACATGCCTAAGATCCACCCTGAGACCAAAGCATTAATTATCAAGAGGCTGAAGACCAGATCCACTGCTGAGGTGGTGACACCTTCAATGTGTCTCAGCGTCAAGTACAAAGAATAAGAAAAAGATCTGAAATGACTGGAGATGTTTTTGACAAGCCCAGGTCGGGCAGACCCCGCAAAACAACTGCTCGGGAGGACCGTTTGTTGATTCGAAAATCCAAGGCCCCTTTTCCACTGCAGCAGACTCCACCAGGCCTGGTCACCTCAAGTCCCTGTGTCAACCACAACAGTTTGTAGAATTCTGTCTCCAAATGGCCTCCATGGTCGAATCAGTGCACAGAAACCAGCACTAAACAAAAGGCAATTAAAAAAACGTGTGGCATTTGCCAAGGCCCACAGCCTGCTAAAAGGATGGACACTGGAAAAGTGGCAGAAGGTGGATTTCTCAGATGAATCCTCGGTTGAATTACATCACAGCCGCCGCAAATATTGCAGGAGACCTACTGGAGCCCGCATGGATCCAAGATTCACCCAGAAAACAGTTAAGTTTGGTGGTGGAAAAATCATGGTCTGGGGTTCCATCCAGTCTGGGGGTGTGCGAGACATTTGCAGGGTGGAAGGCAATATCAATAGCCTCAAATATCAAGAAGTATTAGTTACCTCTTACATTCCCAACCATAAAAGTGGTCAAATTTTGCAGCAGGATGGTGCTCCATCACATACTTCTATCTCTACATCAAAGTTTCTCAAGGCGAAGAAGATCAAGGTGCTCCAGGACTGACCAGCCCAGTCACCAGACATGAACATCATTGAGCAGGTCTGGGGTTGAATGAAAGAGGAAACATGGAGGCAAAACCAAAGAATCTTGATGAAGTCTGGGAGGCATGTAAGACGCTTTCTTTGCTATTCCTGATGACTTCATCAACAAATTGTATGAATCATTGTGGAACCGCATGGATGTGTCCTTCAAGCTCATGGAAGTCATACAAGATATTAAATATGGGTCTCACAGCACCACTACTTCATTCACTGACGTTATGCAACATATTTTGTATTTGAAGTAAATTATTTGTTCAATTTTCTGTAGGCGACAAAACTTTTGTCTTGCCAAAATCTGACCTTTCTGTGTTCATTAAATGATCAATCTTTCTTCAGTGAAGCAAATTTATTTTAGTATATTGAGCATAATTTGGGAGGGTTTTAGCTTCATATGAGACATTTCTAAAACCAATCGATTCATTTAAAGTCAGGTTATAAGCTTTTGTTTCTACAAAATGGATAAGTGACAAGACTTTTGTCAGGGACTGTATACCACTCTCAGGTCTGAATTATTTATGTTCAGGGTGGAATATATTCGATGAAGATTTATTTCTTACATTTATTTATTTTTTGCTTTTTACAATTCAACAGGCTTTCTGTGACTCAAAACTTTTGTCCTGAGGGCTGCTACCTTCCTCCAACTGCCCTTAAAATAGATCTGATAACTAGTGCCTTCTAATATTATTGTGTTTTACTGCTCAGTGGGCTTAAACTGTAGCCTGATTCATCAGCCGGTTTCACTTCGTAGAAACCGTCTGACCTCGCAGTGTTAGGATTTGTTCGCTTGACGGTAGATGGGTACTTTTTATTATTTAACCAATCACTGTTATTTAGTCATGACATCTGTAACGCGTCGCTAACAGGGATAACTGGTATATTAAGCTTTTCCCAAATCCCATAGGAAGAAGGACAATAACTTGCCCTTGATAAAATTCACTAAAGATTCTCTTTCCGGCTTTAAATCTTCTATCTCAGGAATCGTTGACAACACTGAATATATGGCTCTCCGTTGATTGGTTGATTCCCTGATCTAGTTGCTGGAGAAAAATGAAATTGAGCAGAGACACTAGGTTGCCAGCCTGACTATTTAAATTGCCCTTCAGGGACAAACCAGTTTGTGTGGCCATACCAGCTTGCCAAAGTCTGATCCCATCAGATCTCAGAAGCTTCCGTCAGTCTGCCCCAGGGCAGCTGTGGCTACAATAGTAACTTACCACCATCGAGTGTGGAATGAATTAAAATTGCTCTGTTAAGCTTTGTAGCAGCTGATAATGTAATAGTGGCCAATAATGTAATAACTTGCCAGTAATGAAAGAAAATGTCTGAAACAATAACATAATAACCTGATGCCAATAATGTAGTCATTTATTACATTATCAGTTAGTTATTACATTATTGGCTGGTTTAAAAACTGCTGCCAATTATGTAATAATTTCTTATATCATTTAAAGGAACAGTATGTAAGAAATAACTGTAAATTAATCATAAAATCACCTCGATGTATCACCAGACAATAAGGAATCATGATCAGTTCAAATACTTTTATCACAGACCACAGTAATCAGGCTTGAATATTCCCTTTTCCATAGAAATTGCAGCTCTCAGCTTATGTTGATGTTGTCATTATGTGTATATTATGTTTGAGCCTGTTGCTCCACCCTCCACCTCCACCTCCACCTCTCTGATTTCAGCAACTTAGCAATGACCTCTTGTCTGGGAAAAGGGATTCTACTATTGAATTGAAAGTGTCACACTTTGAGATAAATTATTACTTTTGTCTCTTTCAAATAGCTGCTTAAACACCTGGACACGGTGGACTTACACTCTCTCTCAGTCTCGTTCTATAGTTGGCCTGTGCCTCTTACATGGAACACGTATTATTATTAGGACTATTTGTTTATTTAACTTGATGGTTACAATGATTTCTCTCAGCTCCAGGCCATTCAGGTGCTGACATACATGTATATGTTTATATATTCAAACAATGACCCGCATGGAAAGAGCACAATGAAATTGAAATGTGACTATTCTCAAATCATGAAAATATTCTTTCATTTTAATTCAACCTTTTAACTGAACTGCAAACGTTTTTCCAAAATGTTTTAAAATTCAAATTCTAAGCCTTTTAATCAGAAGAAATCAGACTAAACCCTGCCGCATCTCCTCCCAAGCGCCGCACGCACCACACCTCCTCCCGTGCACTGTGCGCCTCCCCCCGTGGGGGGCTCTTCTGTGGTCGTGGTGAATGAGTCTGAGTCCAAGAGAAACTCGCTAGCTACAGACATCATGCATTCTCCAAAGTTTGCCAGATGTATCTCAGCAACCAACAGTTTTGTGAGTGTGAGTGTTTACCCTGCTCTCCAGGTTTACCTTGCTCTCCTGGTTGGCGTAGGACAGCAGTTGCAAACAGTCTGTAGTGATGGCCAGAAACTTCGGGTTGTTCTTTTTCAGAAGCGGCACCATTCTCTGCAGACCATCGGCTAGCCGCACCGCCATCTTGGATCCCTCCTGATGCAAAAGGAGGTTGTGGAGTGTGGTGATGGCGTAGAATAACACTGATTCAACTGGCGAGCTGCAGGACAGAAATACATCAAAAACAAGGTCAGTAGTAACTATTAAAATAATAATATTTATTATTATTATTATTATTATTATTATTATTATTATTAGTCTGTTCCACCATATGATGTCATGAAGAGGTAGTTTTCAAGTTAACAGCTTTTTCTTCAGTGAAGGTGTATGGAGTTTAAAAACACAGTGGAGCAAAATTGCCACAGTTTGTTGCAGCAAGACCTTGGGATCAATCAAATCTCTCTCTCTCTCTCTTACCTCATGCATTAGCACATGACATCACAAGGTGGGACAATTTGGGCTTTTGAAAGGCAATTGTCTTTTGTTTGATGAATAAGGAACAAAATCAAAGGTAGAAATGAGCTCTGAAGTGAACCTGAAGTGACATCATCACATAACGATACTTCGATACTCTGCTCTGCCTGAGGCTCTGTTACTCAAATAGACTTTCATCTGAGCTTTAGTTCAACACAATATGACTAAAAGGAACTGATTTAGCTGGAACTACAAGGGCTGAGCTTATTTGTCTCCTTCAAATAATATTACTGTCAGAGATACAGCTAGCAGCAGGTTTTTCAGTCGTCACTCTCACCTTTTGTTGAAAATCAAACACCTAAACAGGATTGTATTGATTACAGGACTATTTCAAAATGTATCTTATGTGTGCATTGTGTCACCGTGGTAACTGCTGAACATTCCTCTCGTTTACATACATGTAGAACCTCCCAGTGTGATGTACAGTAGCTCAGTGTTCTTATTTGGGATGAATGACCTGAGCATGTGGACCAGAGCGGGGATGCCTCCTGATTTGAAGATGACCTCCAGTCCTTCTCTCTGGTGGGACAGACTGTGGAGCACACTGCAGGCGCACCGGGCCATCTCCACATCCACTGCTGCTGTCATGGCCTGCACCAGCGCCTCCATCAGGACAGGAGACTGCACCAGGACGCGCCGGCTCGCCTCCTTTCGGGTCAGCTGGTTCACTATCAGGGCAGCTTTGTTCACCACCACCTGGAGTCATGAGCAGTATATAAGATAAGATAAAATAAGATAATCCTTTATTGTCTCCCATGGGAGAAATTTGTCTTGGGACAGGGGGTCACATGCTTTATCAAAAAACAGGACAACACAACACAAAGCAGCACATAAACAAACACCATAGAACAAAGTAAATATGACACCAAGTATGAGCACGAGTGATGCACCAACAGGACCTTTAAATTATTCTTATCAGGCGAGCCCTTTGCATTCTTGTATTCTATTAATTATTGCACATTCCCTAAGCCTATGTGCAGTTTTAATTGCACATTCTCTAAGCCTTTTATAATTATTTTTTAACTGCACTATCAGAGTTGAGCAGATTAACAGCTAGTGGCACAAAAGAATGTTTGAATCTGTTCAGTTTACAGTTTGGGACCCTGAACCTTCTGCCTGATGGCATCAGCTCAAACTGACTGTGAAGAACATGGGTTGGGTCATTGATCACCTTCCTGCCGAGCTTCCTAACAGTTTCCTCAAAAATTTGCTGAAGTGAGCTTGGGGCCACACCCATTATTTTACCTGCTCTTTTAGTCAAGGTAAAAATCTGTGATTTAAGGTTGACTGACAGATATTAAGGTTTTTCATCTACATCGCAAAACCACGTGACTTGGTGTTTATGCTGCCATATTGGAGGTCAAACTATCCATCTGGATGAAGGTGTAGTATTTGTGTGCGATAACATTTGAATTGAATAACAATGGTTTTGACCTGTGTTGCTATTGAATGTTCTGACCTGAGTCAATCTGCTAAAGAAGGAGGACGAAGTATCTTTCTATGGGATTATATTGAAATAAACTGAATAATCCCAGTCTTGACCTCCAGTACAGCTGCAAAACATTAAATCACGTGACTGACACGTTACACACAAATCCTTAATAAAACTGCTATTTTGTTAACAGTACACAGTGTAACTTTTTTGGTTGAGGATCTGCTTGTCTCTAGATCGCAATGTTATTTAATTGCTTAGACCAGGGGTGTCAAACTCATTTTGGTCCGGGGGCCGTATCCAACCTACTTTGATCCTAAACTCATGGCATATAAACCCCAAAAATAACAATAAATTCAAATATTTCTGCAGAATGTTTTAATATTAAGTTGTTTGCAAATAGGAATAAGTCAATTTTTGTTGTAAAATCCTGCACTCGGCTCCACTTTTCTCATGTTGGACATTTTTCTGATGAGGGTGTCACGGTCAACAGTCAAAACGATCGTCCTTTAAGAGCGTTTGGAAAGAGACAAGTCTTCATTTGTGCTGCTCTGGTGGGAGGGGCCACGTACAGAGACACTGGAGACGCTGCTATGATAAACAACGCAGAAAATTAACAACATTTTAAAAGAAAATATAATTCAAATATTTTAGTTGAAAATCAGCCGAGGGACACATTCTGAGGGCCGGATCTGGCCCCCGGGCCGTATGTTTGACACCCCTGACTTAGCATGTTCCACAATAAAGCTTGTAGAAAAATATAAAATACTAATAAAAAAAATACTAAAATACAGCTGTCTCCAAAAGTTTAAGGCTATACTGTGGAAAATAAAGGTAACGCATGCACACACACACACACACGCACACACGCACACACGCACACACACACACACACACACACACACACACACACACGCACACACGCACACACACACACACACACACACACACACACACGCACACACGCACATGATATTCTCAGAGGTCTCCCACATACTAACCAAATCTGGCCCTGCTCAGCTTCTGTCATCTGACGAGATCTTTGACAAGAAAGTTTGGTGTGGTCCCAGCAAAAAATGTACAGCGTTTTACTGATTGATTTATTTTTACCATAATATTCTGTCCTGGTTCAATAACTAGAACATTTGGGTTATGCTAATGACCAGTAGTAGTCTCATCACCACAGAAGAAAGTGGCATCATGTGCAACTAGTGCATTAATACATAAAAGTATAGTTGAAATGTTTTCTGAGCACACAGAGAAGTGGTGGTGCTTGTGGTGGAGAGGTGCTCACCGGGTCATCGTCCGACAACAGTTTGGTGAGCTCGGGCACTGCGCGGGTGGCTAGCTCTGCGTCGTCCTGGTAGTGGATCAGGTGCACGATGGCATTCTTCAGCAGCTGTGAGGGCTCGGCCAGGCGCTGCACGTGGCTCTGGGGCCCCTCTGGGACTCCCTCTCCGGGCACCAGCGTCTCTGGAAACATGGCCGCTCTGACCCTCTGTGCTCGGGTCAGTGAGAGCTGAGGGTCTGAAGGATCAAGAATACAAATCAAGAAATCAAATCCAAAATCCCGATTATTTCTATAAACTCTGTCTAAGAGGGGAAGAGGGGGTGTGGGGGTGGGGCTGGAGCACTGAGGGGAAGAGTGCAAAAGCTAATTAACCCAGAGTGCACTAGAACTACAGATGTCTTCATTTCTGTCCACTCTGTTCACCTCTGATTTCTAGTACAGTTTTGGGTCTTGCCACCTGCAGAAGTTCTCTGATGACTCTGCAGTGGTGGTTGGGTGTATCCGAGATGGTCAGGAGCTGAAGTAGAAGACACTGATGGCAAATTTTTTGGAGTGGTCCCAGGCAAACCATCTGCTTCTGAACATTCACAGATAATACTCCCTACAACTGTACAACAACTCACCCTTATGTAACAGCCAACCCTATGTCCTGTCAATCATCATATCATTTTACCACAGTTTTTCTTATGACTTCTTGCTGAGACATATTTATATGACCATGTTAATATATTAAATTTTTATTTGTACATTTGAATTTGAATTTATTTGTTTGGAGGATAAGCCCCTTTGAGATGTGTCACCATCTTGTTTTCAAGGGGGTCCTCATAAATACAAATATACAATAAAACATATATATTTTTATAATTATACCTTATTTGACATCAGTCTTTTGCTATTTCTGAGCTACTGTGTCCAAGTAATTGTGGATCAATAAAGTGTATTTACGTCTAAGCCTCTGTAAGTCTAAACATGGCGTCACTGTTTCAGTTTTATGCAGCTAAATCCTGGAACAGTCTTCTTGAACATGTGAGACAGGCTTCTGTTAAGCTGTGCATAGGACTGACTGCCATGTATACAATTTTGTAAAAACTAGAAATAAAAAAAAAAAAATAGCCAAAATGACCAAATGAAAGAATCTAAAATGAGTGGTTCCTGAGTTATGCACCATTGAAATTTTGGCCATGCCCATTTTTTCGGAAGCCTCAATTTCTAAACATGTTTGAAACCATAACTTCATAAAAATAGAGCGAGGAAGCTGAAATTACCAATTAGTGTTTAAGTCTATTAAAGGTAATTGAAACTTTCCAGCAGGAGGAAAACTACCTAAACTCCACCAAAAATGACCTGTGAGAGCTCATTTTCAAAAATTCCGTTTGGAATAAAGGAAATTCATAGCGGATGTTTTTATTACTTTAAACTAATCAGAATATGCCAAAGTTTCTCTGGTAAAAAAATTTCATCTAAACATCTAACTGTGCCACATGGGGAACTGAGGCTCTAAAGAAGGAGCCAAAAAGATCACAATTGGTCTGTGTCCAGATTTGGGACTCTACACCATCCACATGAAAACTCAGAAGTGTGAGATTGTTGTCAGAAATGGTCATTCTCTCAAATATTCAGGTTCAACAGTTAGTTTGTAAATGTCTGCTTGGAGTAAATAGATCTTGGATCTCAAAAATTGAAAAAAAATAAATAAATTGAGCAGCAACCAAATTTGAGAACCTCCCTTAATAAAGACACCCAATACTTTGATTGATAGATTTAGAATCTATGACTAATGATCTACAATAATACACATTTCTCTCAAAAATGCTTAGACATTTAGGCTTCCAAAAAAGTGAACATGGCCCCAAAATTTCAACAGGCCATAATTCAGGAACGACTCGAGGGATTGAGCTAAAATTTTAGATTCTTTCATTTGGTCATTTTAGAAATTTTTTGAATTTTTTTTCAGCCAAATCTGAGATGGCTCATAGCGGAGGGCGACTCATTTCATATGGATGGACCCAGGTGTCTCTTGTTATTACACCAAGGCTGCCTTCAAAACAAAGCACTAGACTATTTTAAACAGTGACTTTGCTAGTGTAGACTCATACACTTTTACTTAATAACTACAGCTGTCCATCATCTACAGAAATTTTACAACTGTCTTTACGTCAGTTTTTGGTCTCGTAAATTTGCCCGTAGTATTTAGTTCTACTTCAAGAACTTTATTGGCAGACGCACATCCCTGACCTGTGAGCTTGTCCGTGGCCCCGGCTGCTTCGGCGTCGCTGGAGCAGGCTGACCCGGCTGAGGTGCTTGTGGGCTGAGGCTGGCTACTCTCCTCATCCTGGAGCGTGGTGGCCCCTGACTGAATGCCTGAGTCTGAGGTGTAGTACGTCTGCTGCCACTCGGTCACTTTGGCCACGCTGTCTGTGCCCACCACTGCACACAAGAGCACAGCTGGAGGACAACTGCTGACACGTTTATTTACACTGAATAACTTAACTCTGTGCAATGTAGGACACTTTGTAACAACCTACTAGTTCATGTACTCCCTGTGGTAGATATAAAGATTTACTATGTACTTTTTCCAGTTTGGGGATTTTTAATTGTGAGGCCAACTACCAGTCCTCCTAATTAAAAGTCTGTCTTTGAAACAAAAAAAAATGTGACCAATCAATTTGTGTGGAAAACATATTTTATATGAACTGCATTACATTTATTAAATTGTATTTATTTATTTATTTATTTATTGAATTTCCTTTGGGATCAGTAAAGTCTTTACAGATAGAGATAGATGGTGTTCAGTGCTCAGAGACATGGCCAAGGTAAAGAAGACCGAAACCCGACCATCACTGAGCAAGAAACATGAGCTGAAATGTCAAGACTGGGCCAAAAAATACCTGAAAACAAATTTTTGAAGGTTTTTCAGGTTTTATGGACTGATGACATGAGAGGGGCCAGATGGACGGACCCCTGGCCGAGTCAATAATGGTCACAGAGCACCACTCTGACATGGAGGTGTGGTACTGGTATGGGCTGGTAGTATTAAAAATGAGTTTGTTGGACCTTTTCAGGATGAAGATGGACTTGAAATCAACTTCAGAAACTACTGCCAGTTTTTAGAAGACACTTTCTTCAAGTAGTGGTACAGGAAGCAGTGTGATATTTGGCTAGCTAGTAAAAGCCTTAAAGATGAAAAAATAATGGCATGGTCCTTAAATCCTATTGAGAACATGTGGGCCCTTCTTAAATGGGACATTTACAGTGAAGTAAAACAGTCCATTTCTCTGAACAGTGTCTGGGAGGCTGTGGTTGCCACTGCACAAAAAGATGATCGTCAACAGATGAAGACACTGCCCATTATTGAGGAGAAGGAATGTTTATTTGTACATTTTTTACTATTCTGACAGATGAAAATAAACAAATGAGAATGGAAAGTGTTCTTTTGTCATTTAGTTGTGTAATAGACGCCCCAAAATTGTGCACACATAGATTAGATAAGAAAAGCAAAATGTAACTTTTACTTTCTCATTTATTAAATATTCAGTTTTGAGGTTTATGAATATTCTGGATTGACTGAGAACACTGTAGTTGTTCAATTATAAAATGAATCCTCATAAATACAATTTGCCTAATGGACACAGTGTACATTATTTAAACAGCAGGATGACAGAGACAGTCACAATGACTGAATGAATCAAGCCCACTCGTGTTAAGTTTAAGTAAGTTCATCTAGAGGCTGTAGCTCTTTCAGATCAAACCAGTCAGTGGATTTGTTCACATGTGGACTGAGGTCTTTCAGTGACCTGCAGTACATTACAGTGTCTCTGACTGAAGGACCTGCTCCGCAGCAGCAGCTAAAATGTTCCCAGTTCCTCGAGTGTGTGAAGGCGACTCACAGGGAACTGCAGGACTCAAACTAAAACAGTCAGAGGAACTTCCAAGGTGCCTACAGTGCTGAAAGTCTTTCTATGTAGGCAGCAGTAACAGCAGTCGTCAGGGTACTGCTACAAGCCCTTCTGTTCGCAGTAGTAGTAAGTATAGAAGTAGTAGTAGTAGTAGCAGTAGCAGCAGAAGAGGACATACTTACTGGACATGGACATCAT